CAGAGATTCATGGCCCACAGTTCCTTTCAAGGTGCATGAATTCATGCACTGGGCACCTAGTATGCAGATAAAATTCCTCTCTTCTCCTCTCTGGCAATTGTCAGCAGATGTTTTCTTGAAAGTCTAACTTACCTGAACAGCCAAAGGGCACGCCTAATATTGTGGTTAGTCCTCAGATCGCGGGCGGCTGTCCGGGAGTTGATGGCAGCGTCTCCTGGGTGGGGTGCACCCCCTTGGGAGATCCCTAAGGTGACCTATCGAAATGCAGTCAGAAAGTTTAGAATTTTTGTTTATATCTTTAAAGTTCTAATTAGCCATGGGCTGGGAAATAGAGAAAAGGTGTTCAATGATGCTATTGTGCAAGTTGGTGAGACCTGGAGAAGGGGGTGACTGTTGGCCGGATGGCCCGGCAGGGTGGCCTCGGGTCAGCATCAGTCTGGCCTCTGAAGGTCTCACCCACTGGACCTTCACTGGAGGGAGGAGCTGCTGGTGCTGGAGGTGGGTCGGCATCCGCTCTCACCTGTGCACTGTCCTGCTCCTGGTGGCTTCTAGGTCAGGCCGCATGCTCCCGTTGTCCTGAGTCTGGACCGGTGGCCCTCAGAGACAGGTGACCCCGAGCACTTGGGGTGTAGGCTCACCCAGAATGCGGAGTGAGATGGCACTGTGGCTTGTCTTACTCGCGGGGGGAGGGGCAGCAAGCCTCTGAGGGGGCGCCTCTCAGCTCCAGGGGGAGAGCCTTGTCCTCCACCTTCGCTACCCAGAGGCCTGGCCCATAGCAGGGGCCTCACAGACGCCCGGGGAAGGGCTGCATGAGGACAGACGGCTGCTGTATGGGAGTGGGATACGGCCGGGTGACATCTGGACCAGCTCTGTACCCCGCGCCCCCCCTGTGCGGAGGAAGATCCTAGTGGAACTGGCCGATGCAGAAGCAGGGTGGCCTGGACCGCAGAGGGCGGGGCTGTAGGGGCGAGGAAGAGCTGACTGTGTCAGGACCTCTGGGCGCTCTGTCCTGGGCACAGGGCTCTGAGCAGAGGTTTGGCAAGGCCACCTCATGTCCGGGTTTGCCAGGACAGCCGGTGTGCACCTGAGGCCCTGGCACAATGGACTATGTACGTGCCTCCTTTCACTCTCAAAGCTGTCCCCACTTGCTGGCAAATTACCTGGACAGGCTGTGCACAGAGTGACACAGGCAGGGAGGAGAGAGCTGCTGGGGCTGAGCTGGTTCCACAGCCTCCACAAGGTTCTCCCCTGGGCTCTGTCCTGGTGTCCTCCAGTCTGCGGGCGTGTCTGGGAGTGTTGGGCGCTGTTCCTTCTTTGTAGAGTCCAAGTCAGCCTAGTTTGATGTTCTGCCCGGCCAACATGAAAATACTATTATTAAGTTAGAAGTGGCCATGGCCAGTGTTGCTCAGTGGTTAAAGCAATAGCCCACCCATCAAATACTCATGGGTTCAATTCCCGGGCAAGGGCGAGTACCTGGGTTTCAGATTCAATCCCCAGCCCCAGTTGGGACTCGTGCAGGCAGCAATCAATTGATGTGTCTCTTTCACATCGATGTATTTCTCTTTCTCTCCCTTTCTCTCTCTCTCTTTCTCCTTCTTTCTCTCCCTCCCTCCCTCTACTCTCTCTAAAAAGCAATGGAAAAAAATCCTCAGGTGAGGATTAAAAAAAAAATGTGGTCATCTGTTCCCTAACACATTCCTGTCCCAAACATGCTTTTTCTTCACCCTGCAGCCGCCCGGAAGCTCAGTGGGAAAGTCAGAATAGCCAATGTCAGGTATTCCGAATCCTTCCGCAACGCCAGCAGCAAGGAATCCCAGGACTTCCTAGAGCTATTCTTCAGGATGGTAAGTTGGTGAAACGGTCCTTACTTCTTACTTCGCGGATGTGAAGGAGGGAGGCGGGTGGAATCCTAGCTGCAGCCCAGCAGGATTTAGACCCTCTTTTCAGAAGGAACCTGGGACTTCTGGCTCCGGTGTGGGGCCTGGGTGTCCCTGGGTCTGCTATTAAATAGATGAATCAGTAGATGGGAGACACACCTTGTCCTTTGCTGCCTCCTTGCCTCACACTGTTTCCTGCTCAGTGCAACTTTATCCAGGTGGGACTCCTTGAAGCAGAAAGCCCCTCCCCTGCCTTAAAAAGAACACTTAAAAAAATAAAAGAGAGATCTATTTCATATACCAGAGGATGCAGGGTTTTAAAGTGCACAGTTCAGTAGTTTGGACTGTACTGTATTCATAAAATTGTGCAACCATCACCACCTTCTAATTCCAGAACATTTCATTACCCACCCCCCACCTCCAAACCCTACCCATTAATAATCACTTTCTACTCCCCCTTCTCTCTGCTCCTGGCAACCACTAATGTGCTTTCTGTCTCTCTGGACTTGCCTGTCCTGGGCATTTCATAGAAACAGAATCATACCATATCTGATCTTTTGTGTTTGGATTATTTCATTGAACATACTGTCTTCAAGGCTCACTCATGTTGTAGCATGTGCAGAACTTAATTCAGGAAACCATTTCCTCCGACTGGCTGAAGAATATTCCAGCATGTGGATGGGCCACATTTTGTTTATCCTTTCACTCATTGGTGGGCATTTAGGTTGTTTCCAATTTTTACCTTAAAAAGTTATTTTCCTGCTCTTTCTTGCCCTTCCTCTGCCATCTCGTCGGCATTCTTTGGGATGGTATGTTGTTACGACTTAGTCAGGGTAGCAATCTGAATGTTATTTTTGTTGGAGGTTAGACTTCCCTTTGATGAATAGAGAACACACTTGTCATGACCTAGTGACTTATTTGCACAGAAATCTCACGGATGCTAGCTTTTCCGTATCCTGGGCATTTGAGATACAGAATAGGCAGAGTTTTGCAGCGCCATCTAGTGGTGGAGTGTGAAGACAGGCCGGCGCCTTGGCAATGCAGGTGGCCTCACCTTTGATTCTGTTCAACCCTGTCAGCATCACTTAGTGATAAAAAGTCACACAGCCTCCGGAAACTGTCCAACTGAGGCTCCCCAGATCTGGGACTCCACATTATTTATCCTGGGGCCCCCAGCTCCTGGTCCAGTGCGTGGGTTCCAGAGCTGTTGACTCATTCATACATCCATCTGCTTTAGGTTACAGACAGCTACACTGAGATTGAGCAAACACCGAAATCAGTCCACATCAGAGTGCTCTGGGGGTCACGTGAGGGAGCTCCATTTCCACCCCGAGTTTCTTGATTAACATTTCCCCTTTAAACCATTTCCTCATTTGTCAATTTTTGGGGATAATTTTTGTTTGTTTTTTATTTAGAACTTCAGGATAGCAAATAAGGCTGCCACCTATCTCATGTGTAGGACTTTAAGATAAGTTTTGGGAAGTTGTGGGTTAATTCAGTACCTTGTTCTTTGTACCTGCCTAGCAAGGAGCCTGGAACTTGGTTTGAGATGGGTTTGAAAAGCAACTGAAGGTGGTCTTAGGAAGTCCCAGAAGAGCAAAAGAGACAGAGAGAGGGAGGGAGAGAGAGATGATTACAGACATATGATTGCTAGCTAGCTGGCTAGATGACAGATAGATGATAGATAATAGATACATAGAGGATAGGTAGGTAGATAGATAACAATTGACTGTTCAAATAATAATGTCAGCCATGTGACTGCAGGCAGCTCCTGGTCTCTGGGCCTCTGCAGCCTCTGATGGGTGACACTAGATTGCTGGGGTTGACTGTCCCCAGGCTGGGAAGTGAATCCTGGGCTCGAGCGCCTCCTACAGGGCAGAAGCGGTAAGGCTTTCTCTGTGACAGCAAAGTCTGGAGATGGCGCTTTCCATAGACGATTTCCATCCTGTGGGCTCCTGTCTTCCTGGGCATTTCGGCCATGATGGGCTGGACTGGAGTAATGCCATGTGTGGTGTACGGTGCTGTCCAAAGTGATAGAATAAGAAACGGCTTTCAGAGGCAGGAACCGCCTGCCCCAGCAGGGTCTCACGAGAAGCAGGTTTTGGAAAGGCGGGGAGGAGGATTAGAGGGGAAATGTGTCATATCAGGAGCAAAAGGATTATTCTAGAAAAAACAAAGTGAGTGACCACTCATCCAGGCCCCCGCCCCCATGGCTCTGAGCTGATGGTGGCAGATCCCAGGGGACTGTGAGTCCCCTGCCAAGTGAGAAGCCCCTAGGGTAGGGCTTTTGCCCCCCGCCCCAAACGGACAGCTGGTTAGGGGCAAACAGGGCTCTCAGTATCTCAGACCCGGCCTGCGGCTTTGCCCTGCTGCAGCCTGCAATCCCAAGAGGAGTCCTTTTCACCAGCTCTGTCTCTCTGCAGGTGCGCGAGTCCCTGTCACCCACCATGCGCCAGCACCTGGACGCGGGCGGGGTGCGGGTGGAAGTGACCCGCATCGCCAACGGCAGTGTCGTGGTGGAGTTCAGCCTGCTGATCGTCGCGGACTTGGAGGTCCAGGTGGTGTCTGCCGCGTTCCTCGCTGCCTTTCAGAACGCCTCTCTGTTGGAGGTGGTCGGAGGGGACGCCTTCATCGGGGGTACGTGTTGGTCTGGCCTGGTGGAGGCTCACCGGGTCTGGAACGCGAGGCAGCCAGCGCCCAGCTACTGCCTTTGTTTCTGAAAGGTGTCCCTCTGGGGCTTCCCGGCATTAGATGAAAATGGGAAGCAGGACCCTCCTCTCGCTTTTTGCTCCTATGTTGTTGTTTGTATTTATGACGTACGGGTTGAGAACAGCCTCTGGTGAACCGGGGATGCTGCTCCCTGGTCGCAGGCTGCGTCCTGCCCCCGCCCCTCCTCCACTGCTGTCATCATGGGTCCAGGGCAGACGCGTCCCTCTCTGCAGCCAGACTTCCTCCAGAGCATGGTTGCCAAGGAGATCCTAGTGGAAATAATTGAAAAGCAGGGAGAAAGGGCAACTGAGATGCTTCCCTCAGATGGTCTTAGTCAGCTCAGCTGTCACCATAAAACACGCAGATGGGTGGCTCACACAGCGGACATGGTCTCACAGTCCCGGTGGCCGGGAGTCCAGGCTCAGGTGCCAGCCAACCTGGTTTCTGAGGAGGGTCCGCTTCCTGGCGTGTGTCCTCCGAAGGAGAGCCCCTGGGTGACACCAGATCAGGACCGCACCACCATGACCTCCTTTAACCTGAATTACCCCCAAAGGCCCGTCTCCAAACACTGTCACAGCGGGGTTAGGGCTTCTGCAGGTGAACTTTCAGGGGCACAGGCCAGTCCACAGCACGTATCCCACGTGAAAATCGTGATAAAGGGCTTGCAGGTACCTGTATAACAAATCAAAGACAACATAGGTGACTATTTTTCTGAATTTTTGGAGTAAGAAGTGTTTTCCAAGGTTAAAAGCGGAAGGAAAACAAGCCCACGGAAGAAAAGACTGGAATATTTGATTCCATGAAAATGTAAATCTTTTATGTCAAGCAAACAAAACAAAGGCGCCCTTGTCACGCAAGCAACAAACCAAAGTATAATTTCAATAATGTGACGAGGAACGAAGCCCTAAATAGAGAGAGAGGTCACGTGCATCGGTCATATCCATTTTGTTCAGCAAACCTGCACGACTGTTAGTACGTAAAGTAACTGAGCGCAGGAACCAAAGGCAGGTGTCTTGTTTTCGGGGCCCCTCGCCTGAGACCAGGGGTTGGGTGGGGCCTGCTCACCTCCTGGCTGCTCTGATCTGACACTGCTTTGCCCAGTGTCTCTCCCCCTGCCCCTCACCTCCAGCCCCGGGACCAGGAATTCTTCCAGCACAGCCCCTGCAGCCCGCGGACACCTGCCCCCACCCCATCCCTGCCCCCAGAACGGATAAGTTGGATAATTTTTAACTTTCTCTGAGGTGCGCTTTCCACGCGGCTGCCTGTAAACAGCCGGCAGGGTACCCCTCTCCGCAGGCCTCGAGCCCACTGAGAAGGTCCGTTTTGTTCCCGAAATGTCGCACAGATTTCGATGAGTGTGAGAGCAGGGAGGACGACTGCGAGCCCGGCACAGCCTGTCGCAACACTCTCGGGTCTTTCACCTGCAGCTGTGTGGGAGCTGCCCCCGACTTCCCCGTAGAATATTCTGGAAGACCCTGTGAAGGTACCATCCTCCCGGTCCCTTTTCTGGAATGCTGTCGGTAATCTGTCCTGTGAAAAGAAGCAACGTACCTCTTTTCCAAATGAGGTCGGCCTATTTTATGTCCTGGGCAAGTTTCCTGGTGTGTGTGTGTGTGTGTGTGTGTGTGTGTGTGCGTGCACATGTACCCGTGTGAGTGTGTGTGCGCGCACATGTACCCACATGCATGTGTACATGTGTGTGATGCTGTCCCTTCACATCCTCTCATATGTCTCCAGCCTTTTTGGTGGTGCCTCCTATCCCCAAATGATTCTTCTGATGACTGAGATGAGAAAACACACTCAGAACCAAGGTGTGTTTTCTTGCAAAATGTACAGCCCATGAGACAAGCACCATGCACGAGACATTTCTACTCAGCCCCTGTCTCCACTCAGCACTTTCCCTGTCCAGTAGTGAATTCAGCACGGACTCTGAGCTGATGCCTGCCATACAGGGATCTGTGGTCAAGTGGAGGGAGACAGGCGTTTATATGAGTAAACACAGTGTCACAGGGAATCTGGAATGTTCCCTCCTGCTTGAGGTAGAAACAGGAGGCCCAGAGGAGACTAAGTTGTTTCAGCCCCATGTGTGTGGTCAGGGAGGGCTTCCTGGAAGAGGTACCTTAGCGCTGGTCTCAAAGGATGGCTAAGATAAGCACTGGGCAGAGGGGGCCATGGTGGGTGGGGGCAACAGTGAGAACAGAACTGTTCAAGGTGGGCATGGTCCAGGCATGCAGCTGGGCTAGCTTCAAAGTGGGTGCCTGCAGGAGATGGGTGGGAGGAGTGGGAGGCAGGCTGCTAAGAGCAGTGGGTGAGGCCAGTTGGGAAGGCTGCCAACGCCAGGAGCAGTGATTTGGTCTGCAGGCTGGAGGCAGGGAGAGCTAGGTGAGGCGGCAGAGTGATGGCTGAAACCCCCCACCCCCTACCTTGAGACAAAAAATGGCAGGTGCCGAAGTAGCAGGCAATGGGCCGGGCTGTAGAGGGGGGCCCAGGGACAAGCTGAGATGTGTCTGGGTCTGCTTCCTGCAGGCCAGGGAGGGAGCCCAGGGAGAACGGTGGGCGCCTTTAAGGAGCCTCTTCATTCTTCCAGAGGGTGAAACCGAGAGTGCTTTGGGGGAAGCAGGGAGCTGGAGCAGGAGTGAGGGACTCAAGGATCCGGAGAGTAAACATCACTAACTCATCTTAGAGACAGGACTCGGGGACTCCTGAGGGTAGACAGCTTGTCCCCAGTCCATAGGCTTGGCACCCGCCCAGCCTGGGCCTGGGACAGGCTGGGAGAAGCTGGGCGGACAGGACACCCCTGGATTCCCTGGCCCACAGGGCCCCTGGGTAGCCAAGCCGAGCCCAGCTACTTGGGTTGGCAGAAGCGTGTAACACATGTGTGTGTGTGGCCGTGGCTGGAATGTGCAGTTCCCAGGCGTGTGCTGTAGGGGCAGGGGATCCCTGTGGGCTCTCCACCCTCAGCGCCGGCCTCACAGTCCAGACTCACATCACAGTCCCCAAACGCAGACCCACCTGCTGCTGGTCTCCTCGTGTCTTGTAGGTGACTCTTCTGGTAACACAACCCAGGCCCCCGGGTCTTCCGTGGGCCCCGGCCCAGAGCAGCCCCCCACCCCCGCAGAAACCAGGGCGGCCTCCGTGCAAGGGGCCAGCCCGGCGCCCCAGGACCCACCCCCGCGGCTGAACCTGACGGGAGCGGTCAGGGTGCTCTGCGAGATCGAGAAGGTGGCCATTGCCGTCGAGAGGCGCTTCCTGCGGCAGGAGTCCATCCCCGAGTCCTCCCTGTACCTGGGGCACCCGTCCTGCAACGTGAGTGACAGCAACAGCACACACGTGTTCCTGGTGGCCGCGTGGAGCGAGTGCGGCACCCTCGTGCAAAGCGTAAGTCCTGGGCGGGGCCGTCCAAGCTGTCCGGACCTCAATACGGGGAGGGCCGGCACTGACCTGGGGACCAGAAATCCTCTGTACCCTGAGATCCTGAGTCTAAGTGCGGGCCCCAAAGGAGTCAGGATAGGGCCGAGTTCTCACTGCAGATTGGGCTGCACCTTAGAACCAGGAGGGACCTGAGAGCCCCACCCTGCCAGGATTCTGGTGCAAAGGGCCTGGGGCACATCTGAGAGTCAGGGTGCAAAACAACCTCTGGGGAGTCTGATGTGCAGGCAGAGCCAGTGGGGAGAGAAAGGGGGAGGGAAGCTGGAGCCTATGTGTGCACGTGAGCATCCATGAGTGAGAATATGTATGTGTGTATGTGTGTGTGTGTGAATGTATGTGTAACTATGGTTGTATGAGTGTGCGTGTGTGAATGTGTGTGTAGCTATATTGTATGAGTATGCATGTGTGAATGTGTGTGTAGCTATGGTTGTATGAGTGCGTGTGTGAATGTGTATGTAGCTATGGTTGTGTGAGTATGCGTGGGTGAATGTCGCTATGGTTGTGTGAGTGCGGGCATGTGTTGGAGGATTTGCCATGGGCAGAGCTGCCCAGCTCCTGCTGGCGATGCTCCCGCAGGCTGTTCCCAAGTGTGGGTCCGCTGCTGTGGTGGGTGAGGGGGCCCGGAGTCAAGGCTGCCACGTCGGCTCGCTCCCTTTGGCTTTCTGAGCTGGGCAAACACCTGGCTTAGCACTTACAGCCAGCCGGGTTCAGGCCTGGTCAGAGCAGAGGGAAATTCGTCTCCTATGAGTCATGCCAACCCTGGAATCCACACAAGTTCTCGATGTTCTTTGACGTTTGTCAAAAGCTAAGTTTACCTTGAAGACTTATTTGTACAAACTGATAGATTATACACAGCAGGTTCCACCTTCCTTTTTTTTTTTTATTAAGTAGTTTACATTTTATTCACCCCCAGGTTAAAAGAAAAAGGATCACAGCCCTAGCTGAGTTGGCTCAGTGGATAGAGTGTCGGCCAGCAGACTGAAAAGTCCCGGGTTCGATTCTGGTCAAGGGCACGTACTTTGGTTGCAGGCTCCTTCCCAACTCAGGCCCTGGTCAGGGCGTGTGCAGGAGGCAACCAATCGATGTGTTTCTCTCACATCGATATTTCTCTCTGCCTTTCCCTCTCTCTTCCACTCTCTCTAAAAATCAATAGGAAAATATCCTAGGGTGAGGATTAAAAAAGAAAAAAAAAAACAACAGGAAAAAGGTCACATTTCTCTGATTACTCTAAACAGGTCATGCAGATATGACTATGAAGAGACACAAATTCCTCCATGCCCCCAAAATTTTCACTGGAGAACAGAATCATCTTTGTAAATATATGTAAGATTCTTACAAAGATAGAAGGGGACTTCTCTGTTTTTCCTGAGACACTTTGCAAAATGCTGACCGAGTCCTCCCTGTACCTGCTGTCTCTCCTCCGGCCCATCAGAGACTTGGCCTCGGGACTGAGATAAAACTAAGAGGAACAGGAGTTTGTTTGGCTGAAAACCCACAGGGCCTGTGCGCATCTCGCAGACAATTCCTCCCAAATGCGGAGATACAAACACAGGCCTTTTTTAAAGAAGCCAACACAAAAGATCGGCATCAATTCAAAAGGGATGAAAGGCTTCCGCGAGGGACCCATCAGTTAAGAACTGTACACCTTTGGTCCTAGAAGCTAATGCACTGCTAGTCACTACTCAGGAAAATGAATTCTAAACATGAACCTGGTTTTCAGTCATTCAGATTTTGCTCCTTATATAAAATCCTAAAGCAAATCTAATAGCTTTCAAAGACATGCTAGTGGCTCTGATGTAATCGACTTTACCAAAGTCTGTCCAGGCCTGTTTAATTCACAACAAAAATCTATTCCTTCTATAATTTTGTGTCCAGTAGCAACGAAGGAGCTGCAGAAGGGAAAAGAGACTTCTCTTCAATGGCTCCCTCTTCAGAACCATTGAAAGCCGCCCCTTCCCCTCACACTCCGTAAGCCTTGCTCCCTCCAGCGTTCTGCTCTTAAACCCTCTCACGCTGGAGGCTGGCTGGCCACTGGACTCCTTGTCTCTCGGATTCATGGGTCCTGTGAGTCATGTGAGCCTGGGAATTTTTACTTTCAGCAAACACTGCACGGACAGCCTTATCAGGGTCAGATGTTTTGTCTTATAGTGCACAGTCGGCCTCCTCGCGCCTCCTCCGAGAAGTCCAGCAGCTTCTACTCTTCCTGGCTTGTTTCAACAACTGTAATTGGACCTCTTCACTGTCCCCAATTTTCAAACAACCCTGCCCCTCGTTTCCTCCTCAGTCAGTGGTTCTGACTGGCTGACTTCACACAAATTTTCCCTTGTCTAGTTCTAAACCGGTGAGGCCGACAAGCTACCCACAGGGCAGTGCCTCCTGCGAACTGTCACGAGCTGCTGGTCACCACGGCACATGACCAGCTGCCCTCGGAGGGCCCTGTGCTCTGTTCTGGTGACAACTTCGGGATTGTCAGTAAGGGGACATGGGAGACCCACCACTGTGACAGTCAGACTCCAGGCCACGAGCCAGCAAAGTGCTTCAAACAAATAGAACTTCAAGTATTTTGTCCAACAACAGGCTTCAGTGTAGTGATGACACCCACTCCCCCCTCCGCCCGCCCCCTTCAGGCCCTCCATCTGGTTTCCCTGTCTCGCTGCAGTCTCTTAGAAAAGCCCATTTCCAGGCCAGCTGTCCGCAATCTCCTCCTCTTTCTGCTCAACCTCCACATGCCAGCAGCCAGACTAAACCCAGCAGACAGGGGAACAGGCCTCTTTGTGCTTGAAACCACTTGCTCCACACCTTTGTTCAGAGCAGGGGTGGGGAACCTCCATATAAGGGCCGCGAAATCATTTGGTCTGGCCCTGCCAAGGCAGCTGGAGCGAGGTCATTAAGTGTTCGACCCAATAGAGCAGGCTAAGCTTTAGGGTGATCATTCTGTATGGCCCAGGAATGATGGGATAGATATCCAATGGCCCTTGGCAGAGAAAAGGTTCCCCATCCCTGGTCACTTCATTAACACTGACAGGCTTAACATTGTTCCCCGGAGACTCAAGTACACAATTTAGCCGTGCTGTCACGTGCACACCTTCGTTCTCATCAGGGTCATGTTCTTTCCTTCTGTTTCTCTTCTGGATCTTGGCTCGGTGTTGTTTCCCAGACTTGAGAACTTAGAAGGAGTGCTGGCTGGCTCGGCCTCAGGCCTTTACCAGGTTAACTAGATTCCTCCGGTGAGGGCCCCGTGCTCTCATTTTCAGAAATGTTCATGGGATAATCTGGTGAGTGTGGGGGTCAGATATGTTATTGTGGGTACCCCCTGATCTAGACCACCTCTATCCTCCTCCAGTGAGGAAGCTGGCACTGGACATAGGCATCAGCCAGCCCCTGGACTTCACCCTCTCTATGACAGTTTATGTTAGAAAAAATCATTTGGGGTTTTTTGTGTGCAATATTTTATTGATTTTTTACAGAGAGGAAGGGAGAGGGATAGAGAGTTAAAAACATTGACGAGAGAGAAACATTGATCAGCTGCCTCCTGCATACCTCCCACTGGGGATGTGCCCACAACCAAGGTACATGCCCTTGACTGGAATTGAACCTGGGACCTTTCAGTCCGCAGGCCGATGCTCTATCCACTGAGCCAAACTGGTTAGGGCACATTTGGGTTTTTATATTTTGGGGGGGAAAGCTTTTAAGAAGACCCCTCCCCAGCACTCCTACTGGGGTCCTGCTGGGGCCCAGGAGCTCGCTCATGCCCCACTTGGTTTGTGCTCAGAACATGACGAACACAGTGGTGAGGACCACGCTGAGGAACGACCTGTCCCCCGAGGGCATCATCCACCACCTGAAGATCCTGAGCCCCATCCGCTGTGCCTTCCGCAACGATCTCCTGACGTCATCGGGCTACACCCCGGAGTGGGGGTGAGTGGAGAGGCCTCCCACCTCTCCCCAGTGCGCGTTCCTCTCTAGCACCACAGTGAGGATTTTCTTAGGGTTCCAATCACTTGAGGGCCATCTGAGAGACTGAATACACAACAGATGGTGCCGGGACTTGGCTAATAATGGCCAGCTTTCTTCAACCTTGTTCCCGCTTTCAACTCAGGACCGACCCAAGGAAGCCATATATGTTTCTCTAATCAACCACATAGGACATCCCACTTATAGCGAGCCTGCCCACGGCTTCCCCCCTCTACTCTGCCTGTCTTTGAGTCTCCATCAGTCAGGCGATGGGACTGAGCCCCCACTGCTGCCAGTTCAGAATAAATAGCCTTTCTTGCTTGTCCTCATTTGGGTTTTATTTCCACGCTTCTTTGAGGTTGCTTTCTGGGGAGGAGTGGGGATGAGAGGGATCCCAGGAGGGAACCTCCAGCAAGTTGCTCCCTCCGCAGGGTTTACACCATCATTGAGGACCTCCATGGCGCTGGAAATTTTGTCACAGAAATGCAGTTGTTTATTGGGGACTCTCCTATACCTCGGAATTATAGCGTGTCTGCCAGCGACGACATCAAGATCGAAGTGGGGCTCTATAAACAGAAAAGCAACCTCAAGGTGGTCCTGACCGAGTGCTGGGCAACGCCGTCCAGCAACGCCAGGGACCCGGTCATGTTTGGCTTCATCAACAACAGGTAGGGGTTCGGGGGGGCCTTGGGCATCGCTGCCCCCCTTGCTGGTGGCTTCCTTTGGGCCCTCTGAATTTCCAGACTTGTACGTGCATGGACCTGGGTTTTAGGTAACACCCCACAGGAGACCCTTTCCCCTCAGGAGCTGGAGATCTAGCCATCCCTGCCTTCCAGGGAGCCTGGTGGGGATGCTCCATGTGCAGCCAGATGTATTGTAACTCTTTCGTTTTGGAACAGGGATAGGAAGACCAGTTTATAATTAAACTTTTCTCTCACCTTTTCTCTCCTCCCAGCTGCCCCATCCCCAACACGCATACCAACGTGATTGAGAATGGGGACTCCAACAAGGCCCAGTTTAAGCTGAAAATTTTTTCCTTCATCAACAACTCCATAGTCTACCTGCACTGCAAACTCCGCATCTGCATGGAGACCCCCGGAGCCACGTGCAAAATCGTAGGTGTTGCGTGTTCTAAGTTTCTGTCTGGGTCCTCGCTCCCTCTTGTTATGAGGAGGGTTGCTGTGTTATCCAGGGCATGGTTGGCTCTGAGAAGAGGTGCTGGGCCCTGCAGATGTGGCCCCTAAAAGGCAGGAAATGGCATTTCAACAGTGGGCACCACTGGGGGAGGACCGACTTAGCTGGGTGTCACCTTAGTCCTTCTTGAGGCCATACCATCTGCTGGCCGTCACGTCAGAGCTTCCTTGTCATGAGGCTGTTGCACTTCTCAAGGCGATTTAATGCATATCTAGGTGCAAAAGTGTTATTTTAATTTCACGTTATTTTTAGCTACTTTGATGGAACACTGCTGATTCGGAGCCACTGTGACATTCAATCAGGGGTTTCTCCTTCCCTATGTGCAGCATTCATGCTGGGATTAGGAATAATTTTACATTCTCATTTTCTTTGACCTTTGAATTCAAAATGTGCTTTGAGTCCTGAGATTTGCAAGCTCTCCTTCATACCAGTGACACGTATGCGAAGTGACTGTTGTGTGTTGTCTGGGGCCAAGGACAGTGTAGGGGGTTCTGTTGGCTGCTGATCGGACCACTGCGTGTCTCTCTGCATGTCTATGCTTGTCCCTCTGGTTTTCCTGCACAGTCCACCTCCGAGCGTCAGTAGGTCATGGATGAGCGAAATCCAGTCATGGTCGGTTTTGTTGATGTCACTTTTATCAAGCAGTAGATCTGCTGGAGCACGGGAGGAAAGGGACACAGGCTCCCGATGACGGCCAGCTAAGGGCGCGGAGGAGTCTGCACCTGGTTGCACTGGCCCCACAGAGATGCTGAGAGTATTAATAGCCACAGTGGTACTTGGCCTCTGCAGGGAGCTGCCAGTCCCCAGATTCTTTACAACAGAGCTCCACACATTCCTTCCCAAGTTCCTTGAGGATGGCCATTGTATTGGTTTCCTGTGGCTGCTGTACAGAGTACCCCGGAAGGATTGGCTTAAGCAAGAGAAATTTGTTGTCTTCCAATCCAGGGGGCTGGAAGTCCAAGACCAGTGTGTGGACAGGGCTGGTTCCTTCTGAGGCTGAAAAGGAGGATCTGTTCGGTCAATCTCTGAGGCTTGTAGAAGCCCATCTTCTCCCTCTATGTGTGTCTGTGTCTGTGTTCAAATTTCCACTTTGGGTAAGGACACAGTCATATTGGATCAGGACCCACGCTAGTGAGCTCGTCTTAACTTGAACATCTGCAAAGACCCTGCCTCCAAATAAGGTCACATCACAAATACTGGGAGTTAGGGCTTCAACATCCTTTCTGGACATATGAGCCCACAGTGGGTTTAGGCAAAGGCATTAAAAGGAACACATGGTTGCAGTAGGCTGTAGAGATGCGAAGGTGACTCTGAGAGCTTTGTTGAGAAAGATCCCCGAACCATGGGATAAACGGACCAGCACTGGTAGCTAGGGATAGCTCAAGGGGCTGCTGCCTCTCATTGCTCTTGTGCACCTCCTTGTGGCCAGCACTTCCTCCCTTTCACTGGGCAGAGCATGTGGTCCAGGTGGTCCTGGTGGTTCAGATGGTCCAGGTGGTCCTGGTGCTCCAGGTTGTCCTGGTGGTTCAGATGGTCCAGGTGGTCCTGGTGCTCCAGGTTGTCCTGGTGGTCCAGGTGGTCCTGCTGGTCCAGGTGGTCCTGGTGGTCCAGGTTGTCCTGGTGGTCCTGGCGGTCCAGGTGGTCCTGGCGGTCCAGGTGGTCCAGGTTGTCCTGGTGGTCCTGCTGGTCCAGGTTGTCCTGGTGGTCCTGCTGGTCCAGGTGGTCCTGGCAGTCCAGGTGGTCCAGGTTGTCCTGGTGGTCCTGGTGGTCCAGGTTGTCCTGGTGGTCCTGGCGGTCCAGGTGGTCCTGGCGGTCCAGGTGGTCCAGGTTGTCCTGGTGGTCCTGGTGGTCCAGGTTGTCCTGGTGGTCCTGGCGGTCCAGGTGGTCCTGGCGGTCCAGGTGGTCCAGGTTGTCCTGGTGGTCCTGGTGGTCCAGGTTGTCCTGGTGGTCCAGGTGCTCCAGGTTGTCCTGGTGGTCCTGGTGGTCCAGGTTGTCCTGGGTCCCGGTGGTCCAAGTGGTCCTGGTGATCCAGGTGGTCCTGGTGGTCTAGGTGCTTCAGGAGGTCCTGATGGTCCAGGTGGTCCTGGGGGTCCAGGTTCAGGTGGTCCTGGTGGTCCAGGTTGTCCTGGTGGCCCAGGTGGTCCAGGTGGTCCCGGTGGTCCTGATGGTCCAGGCGGTCCTGATGGTCCAGGCGGTCCTGATGGTCCAGGCGGTCCTGATGGTCCAGGCGGTCCTGATGGTCCAGGCGGTCCTGATGGTCCAGGCGGTCCTGATGGTCCAGGCGGTCCTGATGGTCCAGGCGGTCCTGATGGTCCAGGCGGTCCTGATGGTCCAGGCGGTCCTGATGGTCCAGGCGGTCCTGATGGTCCAGGCGGTCCTGATGGTCCAGGCGGTCCTGATGGTCCAGGCGGTCCTGATGGTCCAGGCGGTCCTGATGGTCCAGGCGGTCCTGATGGTCCAGGCGGTCCTGATGGTCCAGGCGGTCCTGATGGTCCAGGCGGTCCTGATGGTCCAGGCGGTCCTGATGGTCCAGGCGGTCCTGATGGTCCAGGCGGTCCTGATGGTCCAGGCGGTCCTGATGGTCCAGGCGGTCCTGATGGTCCAGGCGGTCCTGATGGTCCAGGCGGTCCTGATGGTCCAGGCGGTCCTGATGGTCCAGGCGGTCCTGATGGTCCAGGCGGTCCTGATGGTCCAGGCGGTCCTGATGGTCCAGGCGGTCCTGATGGTCCAGGCGGTCCTGATGGTCCAGGCGGTCCTGATGGTCCAGGCGGTCCTGATGGTCCAGGCGGTCCTGATGGTCCAGGCGGTCCTGATGGTCCAGGCGGTCCTGATGGTCCAGGCGGTCCTGATGGTCCAGGCGGTCCTGATGGTCCAGGCGGTCCTGATGGTCCAGGCGGTCCTGATGGTCCAGGCGGTCCTGATGGTCCAGGCGGTCCTGATGGTCCAGGCGGTCCTGATGGTCCAGGCGGTCCTGATGGTCCAGGCGGTCCTGATGGTCCAGGCGGTCCTGATGGTCCAGGCGGTCCTGATGGTCCAGGCGGTCCTGATGGTCCAGGCGGTCCTGATGGTCCAGGCGGTCCTGATGGTCCAGGCGGTCCTGATGGTCCAGGCGGTCCTGATGGTCCAGGCGGTCCTGATGGTCCAGGCGGTCCTGATGGTCCAGGCGGTCCTGATGGTCCAGGCGGTCCTGATGGTCCAGGCGGTCCTGATGGTCCAGGCGGTCCTGATGGTCCAGGCGGTCCTGATGGTCCAGGCGGTCCTGATGGTCCAGGCGGTCCTGATGGTCCAGGCGGTCCTGATGGTCCAGGCGGTCCTGATGGTCCAGGCGGTCCTGATGGTCCAGGCGGTCCTGATGGTCCAGGCGGTCCTGATGGTCCAGGCGGTCCAGGTGGTCCTGGTGGTCCAGGTGGTCCTGTTTGTCCCAGTGATCCAGGTGGTCCAGGTGACCCAGGTGGCCCTTGTGATTCAGGTGGTCCTGGTGGTCCTGGTGGTCCAGGTGGCCCAGATGGTCCAGGTGGTCCAGGCGGCCCAGGCAGACCCGGCGGTCCAGGTGGTCCAGTCCTTTGCAGCCCTCCTTCTCCCTGGCTGAGCTTATCCATTGCGATTTCATGTCTCCAGCAGGGAAAACATGTACGAATCAGGGTACCATTCCAGAGACTGGGTACATTTCTCATAACTGTTGTTGCACTAATTGAATTTCTCTCCTTTAAAAAAAACAAAAACAACAGAATTGCAATGACTTTCGGTCGCTGAGAAGTGGTGAACCATCGGAAACACACCAGATGTCCTGGGGACCCCTCATTCGGTCTGACGGTGAGTTGTGGCCTTGGTTTAGAAAACTAAAGAAAAGACACCACCAATTCCATTTCATTAGCATGTAAACCAAAAAGCAATTCCTTGGAACACAGAGCTCATAAGATTTTCCCTAAAGACTCATAATTAGTAACAATGCCAGCTAATGCTCACGGAGAGTCCTGACCTCCCAGCACTGCGCTCCGTTCTGTACGCACAGAATGTAATTTGCTCTTCGCAGCAGCCCTGCAAGGTCAGAGCTATTACCATGCCCATGTTGCAGATGAAAAGACTGAGGCTTCAGCAAGTGTGCACGTGTTTAATTAATGCATGTTTGGGTAAGGGGCAGGCAGTTAAGTTTCCTGACACTGGATAATTGCATGCAGTGGGTTGTTATCAGGAAGGAACTCAGTCTATAGGCAGGACAAATTCTGTGCATTTGCATGTATGTGCACACACACACACGTGTGTGTGTGTGTGTGTGTGTGTGTGTGTGATGTGAGGATGTGCAAACGCATGTGAATGGGGAAGCTGTTTTATTTTAGGCTTTGCTAAATCAGAAGATGCAAAACAAAAAAATGGCACTGTTGTTCTCTCTCGCATAAAACTTCCATCAGCCAACGTGAAACTCACCATTAGTTTTCTAGGAAAACGTTTTCTTTCGTTTGTGATCTAGCCTATTTTTATGTTTATTTATTTATTTTTTGTTAATCCTCACCTGAGGATTTTTTTCTATTGCTTTTTCAGAGAAAGTGGAGGGAGGGAGGGGGAGAGAGAGACAGAGCGAGAGAGAGAGAGAGAGAGAGAGAGAGAGAGACAGAGAAAAACCTAGATGTGAGAGAGACACATCGACTGGTTGCCTCCCACATGCACCCTGGCCTGGGACAGGGAGCAAACTGGCAACCCAGGTACATGCCCTTGACTGGAAGTTGAACCCATAACCCTTTGGTGCATGGACTGACATTCCTACCACTGAGCCACACCAGCCAGGGCTATCCTATTTTTAAAAAAATGGTTTGGAGAAATTGTGTGCTTTGGGTATTAAGACAAAAACTGCTAGCTGTTCCCCAATATCTGTTCTCCTCTCCTTCCATAATAATAAAACTCCAACTTTTTAGCTGGGAATAAAAACTATATATTTTAAAATATATAACCGACCTGGCAGCCAGGTGTGGCCATATGAGTAAGTGCTGGCCAATGAGATGCAGATGGGAAGGCCCAGTGATGACCCCCTAAGGGTTGCCTCCTCAGAACATCCCGTGCCCCTGCTTCATCCCCTCTTCCTCCTCACCTCTCCACCCTGCTGCCTGCCATGCAGATGAGACGGCTGCCGCTGGTCCCCATCCTGGACCATGAGGACCACGGGGACAGGAGCTGGATGAGCCGGGCTCCCGAGGACACTGCGGCGCAAAGCTGCTGGGCCCGGCCTGGGCTCTGACTTAACCAGTTTCATGCACGAAAGAAATAAACTTCCATATTCTTTGTCACTGCTATTTTAGGTCTTCCTCTTTTTTGCAGCTACACTTAATCCTACTTGATTTTCCTTTTTTTGTTGTTTTTCTTCCTCATTTGATGGCCCTCCTTCCTCTTGATATTTTCCGGGACAAGAATGTCCGTGTTTTGGATGCAGGGTCTGAGCTGGGAAGTGCGTGCTGATCTGACCTGGACAGGGAGGGCTCCTTGCCCGGGCATTCTCAGCTGCTGGTTCTCATGCCAAGCATTTGGGCAGTGCGCACTTCCACAGGTCCCGGCCACGCCCGGCCTCGGGGGCTCTGGAGCTGGGCGCTGGCACTGGCCCTCGGGTGACTTTGGCTTGGGTCCTAGGACAACATGCTCTTCCTCCCCTCCTCATTGTCTTAAATTGCTGAGCAGAGCTGGGGGCCTCGTGTGAAATGTGAATTGCATTGCCATGTCTGTGCATGCTTCCTGTTTATTCGTAGATATTACAGAGGATTTAAAACCAGAATGGAAAAAGTTATGGGCTTGGCATTAGGAGACCTGAGTTTGATTTTAGGCTGTCATACTTATGAGCTGTGTGGTCTTGGGAAAATTAGTGAACCTTCTAGATTCTATCCATCTGCTCATCCACCCTTTTATTCACCCACTTATCCATCCATCCATCCATTCATTCATCCATCTACTATCCTTCCATTCATCCACCCACCTACTCATCCATTCATCCTCTATCCATCCATCCATCCATCCATTCATCCATCCATCTACCCACCCACTTACTATTTCATCTATCGACTGTATGTCAGGCACTGATTTTTCTCTAGAACATGGATGTGTACCTCATTTTTATCCATTCATCCTTCGGTGGACACTTGGGTTGTTTCCACCTTTGGCTGTTCGCTGAGCCATCCACCTCTTCCTGGAGGGCCTGTTGCTCCCACAGGGCCTCCTCCTCTGGGCCAGCGCTTATCCAGAACCCGGAGCAGGCTGAGCTGTGCTGGCTGCTCTGCTCCCCCGGCCCTCAGACACCTTCCTCGTCAGCTTTGGGGACCACAGGCACATGGCGCACACCTCACTGCTACAGGGCTTCGGATGACTCACATGCAGACGATCATGCTACAGAGTAGCCGACAAAGGGGGGAGCTCGCTCTACCCAGGCTCCTCCCTGAGCCTCTCTACTCTCACCACAACATCTCAGTGCTGGGACCAGAGGGAGACCCGCCAGGGACGTGCTTTCCTCCTGCTTGGGGCCGACCTCCCACCTGTGCTGTCTCATCCCCTGCAGGCGAGTCTCCAGAGGTGAAGCCGGGCCTGGGACCCGGCTACATCGTCCTCATCGTGGTGGCTGTCTTTGCCGCGGTGACAGGGGCAGCTGCCCTTCTCATTGTGCGCTACCAGAGAGTGACCGGGAAGTACAACTTCAAAACCCAGCCGGACAACTTCAGCTACCAGGTGTTCCAGGACTAGGAGTCCTGGCTGCGCTGAAGGTGGGTGAGCAGCGAGGTAGCACACTCGGCTGGTGCACGTGACCTGCTTTTGCCACCGATAGAGGCCGTGCAGTGTGTCTCGGGGACTTTGGCAAAAGGTGGATTTGTGGGTGTCAGCATGTTGTGCCTGTGATATATAATAAGACATATGTACCTGGTCTTCAATCCCTGTTCCTGGTTTTAGAGTTCCTGAAACCCTTGGCTTTCCTAAGTGATGGAGGCAGGAAAGGTGTCTTCTATGTTGTGAGATGACTTTTGGAAAGCACCCAAGGGTGGGGCTGGGTGCCAGGAGAACCAACCATGTGACTGGAGAGTTGGAAATTTTGGTCCCACAGCCTGATCTCGGGGGAGGTGAGGTGGGGTTGGAAGTTGAATCTATCACCAATGGCCAATGATTTACTCAAACAAGCCCATGTGATGAAGCATTCATAAAAAACACAAAAACTATAGGGTTCAGGAGCAATTATCTAAGACATCCCCAATTCTCAAGGTGGGGTACCAGGCATCCAACAGTGGACTGAGCGGCTGTTGGGGCGAGGAGGAAAGAGATTTCTTGGGATCCCTGAAGCCTCCTGCTAATTGGGGTCCTCTGCCCCCCCCCCCCCCCC